TTCCTTGATGCATTGTGTGACCCATACCTTGGAGGCAAAGCACTTGGGAACGTATCGAAAACCCGGGGTGCCTTGCTTGCAGAAATTGGATCATCACCATATGTCGTAAGTTTGACAGAGTCTGATGAACAGACAGGTTTACGATTCACCGTGTTCCGTTCTGCAAGTTAACAAAGACGATGTGTATTGAATATGTTGACACCTCGAGCCAGCATGTATACTCGAGAAAAGATGGGTGTGGTTGGCGGGTGCACGGAGGGCTGCAATGCCTGATGTTTTGCCGAAAATATTGCACAGAGTTTGGAGATTGTATATACGTGGGAAGGGTCTTGGTTTTCAAGTTGGAAACGAGGTTGGTTCACTTGCTCCTACTTGGTTTAGTCTCACCCTTTGTCTCCTTTTTGTGTTTTGTTCTTCCAAATGGTCAATCAATCAAGCAAAATGGGTTCCAATTCTTTTTCAACCAAACAAAACGGGTTACATTTTTCCGTTTCCACCGTTTGGGGCCGCTGGTTGCATGTGTTTTTTGGAGTGGTTTCCACCGGTTTCCTCATCCGGCAAGGCAGCTCCAAAGCCGGAGGCAGGGTTTCCACCACAGAATTTGTCCATTTGGGTGTGGTGCGTGGATTTCTTTTTTTCGAGTTGGTACCCCTTGTTGATAGGTTTTAAAGGGAAGCCAAAAGGAAAGCCAAAGCCATTTTTGGGGGGGGTCCACGAAACAGAGTACTAAAAAGAGACGCACCCATTTTAAAGGCATGTCCAAACAGAAACGAAAGGTTCCAATGTGGACAGCAGGCTACCTTCCTTCCCATGGAAGCGGAAGGTGTAACTACTTTACTTTTGAGTCGACCCGTCTTCCATGATTGGAGGGGTATCTTTCCAACGTTGAGGTGGGCAAGAGGGTTCGGAAGGCAAGAACCAATCCCTCCACTTCCACTTGTTGGAAAAAGTGCCCTCAATTTTTCAGGCTCGCTTGGAGGAAGCCAGAGGAAAGCCACCATTTTTTGAGCCCCCCCCCCCATTTTGACACATACGTGTAGAGGAAAGAAGCCTTTTTGGGCGAGGCTTTTTGGGGTTGGTTCCATATCGGTTTGCATGGGTTCAGGAAATGTATCCCCCAACGAGGAACCTGACTTCAAGTTGGAATTCTGGGGCACAGTTGCTTCGGACATGAATGCCCTTCAACTTCGGCTTTCCAATTCGCCACGGATCACGCGTGTCAGGTGTGGTCCAACTACATGGCACCCGAGTTGCAAGAAGCACGCGCTGATGGGCGAGTCCTTTCGAGGGGGCCCACCAAAATTCGAGGGGTACCTCCAATTCCATTCTGTCCACGATCCGATTTTTTTCAGGAAACCATCAAAATCTCAGGGGAAACGGCTGGTTTTTGCAAAGAACGATGGTTGAGCAGAATGGGGAATCAACCCCTAGAAAAGTTGTGGTTTTCCTTTCGGCTTCCCTGTGGTACCCTCAAAAGAGACCCAACCCAGATCCGGCCACAGTCACAAGACGGTGCAGTCGCATTTCTGACTGAGACCAACACGTTTCAGAAGCACAGCGACAAGCACCGCTGCTGGAACCGGCGGTTCACGTGGCAGCCAAGCTGAAATTAAAGACTGGCAGTTGTGGGTACTCTTGGTGGCTCCCAGCCCTCCGGTTCCCCGGCCGTTTAGCTTTTTAGTGTGTGGCAGCTTCCCTTTAACCCACTAGAAGTTCTCAACTTTTCGCGGGGGATCGGAGGCAGTCCAGTACTGGGGTCCTTCTTGATGCTGTTCAACAGCCAACAGCGAGCTATCCATAAATGTCACAATGGCTTTTCTGCAGTAGCCAGCCAGGAAGTTGGCCGTGCGGACACCTCACTGCTTTCAAATGAAGTTGCGGCGCCCAGTATGCTCTGGGCGCACAGTTCTAGCATGATTTGGCAGTCCTAACATGGGTGTTGTGGGGCAAACCACCACTTCTCCTTAGCCCGAGCCATTCGGCTGTGGCTCAAAAAATGGTACCCAGAATGGGTTTTTGGCAAATAGAAATAAATGGAAACAAAGACCAACACCTGCGTCGCCCTGACTGATGGATTTTGAGCCGCACCCATTTCCTGCACGTCAGGCAGCTTTGCTGCAACGAGACCTGGGGCGCCGGCGGCAACGACATCTGCTGGGATGATGAGCACACCTGGGAGAGGTGCTGCAACAGGCAGGGGAGTTTTCTGGCAGCGGATTCTCTCTGTACATTCGGCTTCCATTTGCTTAAGTTTATTGTTATGATTGTTCTTCTTCTACTTATTATTATTATTATTATTATTATTATTATTATTATTATTATTATTGTTATTATTATTATTATTATTATTTATTATTATTATTATTATTATTATTATTATTATTAGTAGTAGTATTAGTATTATTATGATTTTCCCCTGTTGGTTTTGAAGGGAATGTATCACTACTGGATTTGTGTTTACTTTTTCCAGGGGGCTTTAGTGCAAATGGAGGTCGGGCGTACTCCTAGGGTTCAGCTGATTCCCATGAAAAGAATGGCCTTGGGATCCAGTTTAGATGGTGACAATCCTTAGGTAAACAGTGGTGGTTCTTTGAACCCCATTGTTTTAATGGTGGTGTGGATCCACATTGTCTGCACAGGTGTTCTACCCCTGAGGAAGGTGTTCTACCAACTCTCCCCATTTTTTTTTGTACACTCTTGGTGCTTTTTCTGCCCATCTTGGTGGCCTCTTGGTTTTGCTCTTGGACAGAAGCCAACCCGAACCTCCAGTGCATGTTTGTTTTGTTTGGGGGGGGTATTCTGGACAAGCCTAGGGTAAGCCAAACATAAGTTTTTACTAAGGCTTTGTTAAAGGGGTAAATCAGGGACAGCCCCCCTCCCCATAGCTTCCTTAGGGGTTCATGGCAGGCCAAATCCTCAGATCGATATGATCGATGGCGCCAAAGTCGCTGTTGGAAGCTCAGACTATGGCATATCGGGCAAAATCCACCGGGAGAGCTGGTCTCCTTGACGTGAGCTGTGCAATGGATGCTTTTCACCTTCGATGTGCTTTTGAGACATTAGACTCAGGGACATGCATCTCAGGGAGCTGCGCTGCTTAACCGGACGGAAGCAAATCGAAGAGATCACACGGCCAGTTGCTCCTCCAAAAAAATATGGAACTTCGTAGAAGCCCGCACCCCTTTCGGAGGAGCAAGGTTTGCCTTTCGGGGTGTCCATCCGGCTCGCAAAATTCATGGAGTAATGCATGGTTGGTTTGCGGAGGACACAGCGGGCACCCAACATACCCACAGTGTGGGTCCCAAGTCTACGAGAAAACCTGCGCCAATCTTGTTTGGGGCTGACTGTCAATTAGAGCTCTTAGGTGACCACAGCTGCGCCGATCACAGCTCGCAGAACGACGACCACTATCGCCACCACCACCATCCCCGCTCCAATTGATAAGATGATCCACGTGAAGAACGAAGAAAAAGCTTCTTGACCCAGCGCTCAGCGGCTTTTCGGCGGGGGCTGGGCAGAGATGGGACAGAACTGTTTTGCTTAAGATCACCGCGCCCAAGGTTTGGAACACAGCTTTTGAAGTGTCTAACATACAGATATCTGAGACTGGCATGGATGTTATGATTCTAGGGCTTGATTCCCCATTCTTTTCACATCGCTCTTTTCAAAAACCAGCCGTTTTCTGGAGGTGTTCTAGAAAGATTCGGATCCCTGGGTTCAGAATGGGGAAGGTCCCCCTGAAAGGATGTTTTGCTCAGGTTTCTGGGTGTTTAAGACTTCTAAGCCATCCTGAGCTAACGGGAAACCAACCTTACTCCTTCGGGAACCCGACATTCGGAGTGCATACTTCGCCTTGTGACCCCCCCTGTTTGCGAATCGCCAACTTGTCACCAGTCACGTCCAGACGTCGTCGCACTGTTTGCGTCCTACAACAACCAACGCAGCCTCTTCAAACCGTCGGTCGCCGATTTGGGGCCAAGTTGGCTTTCACTTCACGATCACGAAGCAAGGGGAGCCAAATTTGAAAGGAAGCCACCAGTTCAAGTTTTCTAGCGTGGACATCATGTAAAGGATACATTCTGGCCAGTCACAAGACACATACCAGCTGATTCCCTTACACCGCTGGGTTGGAGATCTCAGGGCACCACGCCTCGGGCGCTCACCGCGAATCAGCCGACCACCTCCGGGAATCCCAAGTGCTGGAGCGAGGCGCCGGTGTGCCAAAGAGCGCTGAGATGCGATTTTTTTTGGTTGGTCCTGCTGGGGGGCTGGCTTGGAGAAGTCCAAGGCGCCCGAGAATCCCCTTCTTTTTTCTTTTCTCGCGGGGGGTGCGAGCCCTAGTTTCAGCTTCGCACTACTTGGTGGTTTGGTTGGGTGGGTTGAACGTTCGCGGGAGTTTCTACAACAAGCACGGTTTCAAATCCAACCGCCAATCCAAACCACCGACAAAGGGTTGCCTGATATGAACATTCACCCATCTGGGTGATTTCCTTTTGGTCTGGAAAAGGTTACATGGTTGAGAATGTTGATTAACCCTTTGGTGGACATTATTTAGGTGGAGGTTTGCGCCTGCCAACCAAGCTTCACGTTTCCGTGGTGTGCTAGACCAAACTTCCGTCCGCCGGATTCAAACCTCGGCAAGGTTGATCATGAATGCGAGCCAAAGATCATCGAACTCCGGCAGAAACTGGGTTTCCTGAGACTGACCAAATTTCTACTCTTGTGACTGGGTTTTGAGAGCCTGGCTGGGCTGGCGACTTTCGCCCGCAAACGGAGCTTCACCGGTTCCACACCAAGAAGCAAGCCACAGAAAGACGAGCAGATGGGACGCTTGTTGATGGAATTTGAGCACCGGCTCAAAGTATAGTAATATTCAATATTGCCATGCAGATACATACACACACACACACCAACATATATGGCCATGGGTCAAAAGCCCGGTTAGCCCCCAGTGAACATCCCAATCCCCACTAAAATAGACTAAAGTGGGTGGTGAATTCGCCTACCCCAAAGTGGGATCCCAAAACGGTTTTGACAATCACTGCCGAATCTAGGCTCCAATCACAACCGGAGAACCAACCTCGCATTGCAAGATCTGGTGTCAAGACTACCCCGCTGCAGATCTGTGTCTCATCTCTGTGGGGTTCAGAGTGCCATAAGGTCATAGCCCATGGTCGCTCTTTTTCGAGGTGCCCCAGCTGTGGGTGGACAAAATCCATTTCGCACCACCGTTCAGAAACCCCGGAATGAAGGATTCCCCAACGTAAATACCAACAAGCAATGGTTTCCCACGGTTTCAAAGCGGTGCAGGATTTCGTCCATCCACAGTAGGTGCAAATCTCACCTCTTTTTTGGTTGGGAGGGTTCCCCTACTAAAATAGGATACAGAAAAAAAGGGTACCCTTACTCTAACCTCTCTACTGGAGGACCTAGTTTTTGTCACTAGAGTGGAAGATGTTCAAAGCCACCTGAAGAAAACTGGAAAAACAAAACAATAGATCCTGAGTGAAATCTCGATCCGTCACTAGTCATCGGCCGCAAGGGCTTCCCTACCGTGGATGGTTGCGAAATCTGTTGTCACCACTTGGAAACCATGGTTGAAACCATAACGTTTGTTGGTAATTACGTTGGGGAATCAAATCAGAAACCAGGGTTTCTGACCGGGTGGGAAATGGATTTTGCAACCACATCCACAGTATGTCCGGTCGCGATAGATTCCTTTACAACCAACAGAAGAAAATAGAGGAAACCCTGACTCCCCTGTAAATGCCAGCAAGCAATGGTTTCCCATGGTTTGATAGTCCCTGCCGCATTTTTTTTTCACTCCTAGGGCTTCTCCTACGAGCTGTGCTGCGGTAAGGCAGTGGAGGACTGCTGGGTTTGGCTCGGCACTTGGAAACCATCGCTCCGGTGGGGTGTCCAAAACTCGGAAAAAAACGGGTCTGTCCTGTAAACCATAAGCTCAGGTGATATCCCCAACAGCATGCGGTGCTCTCTCTCTTTTTAGTGCTCACACCACCTCACAGCCCTCGCAAAACCCTCGTGGAACCTTGGTGGAACCCTGGTGGAACCTTGGTGGAACCCTGGTGGAACCCTGGTGGAACTCTGGTGGAACCCTCGTGGAACCCTACCTTACCTCAGGGCCGCCCGGACCACCCCGGAGCCTATCTGGGCTGAGATCCCAAAGCTTTCAGCTGTTTGGGAAAAATAGCTTGGACCCCGAGTTGGTGTGGACAGGAGATGGGTTCTGCAGGGATGGTGGCTCCCTTAAGTTTGGACCCCCCCTCAAATTGGTGTTTGCCTTTGGTTTTTCTTTGAAACCCTCAAAAAAGGGGGATCAGCTCCCAAAAAAGACGAGCCTCGCAAACCAGCATCCACAAAGCTTAACCCCCCCCCCCCCCCCGAATTGGGGTTTGCCTTTGGGTATCGCTTTTTCACTCACCACGAACAAGGGGGGGTGCCAACTCAGAAGACAGGCGAGAAACCCACACCAGCATCCAAAAACGGTAAGGCTGGAACAAGACGCCCAGGGAGATAAGCTTCTGCGGATTTCCCCGGGCTGTCCGCATTGTCGCCCATGCAGCGCATAAAGAGTCTGTTAAGAAACCGATGCCTATATACATATATATATATATACATACATATAATATATAGACCCTATACATACATACATACATACATGCATGCATGCATACGTACGTACGTACGTACGTACGTACGTACATACATACATACATCATACATAATAGTGAGGTAAGCTGCACAATGTTATGCATCTCGCACTCCTCCAGTGTTTCGGTCGGCAGCACACGGCTCATTTCTTGAACTTGGATGACCCTTGACGTTCCACTTCAGATCAGGTTGTGCTTGTCCCAACTCGAATGTGATCAGGGTTGTGGGATCAAGGGGTGTATCCTCACTTTTGTGATACAAGGGATCTCCCCATTTATATCGGGTGTTAGTGTTTGGGACCGTTTGTACGGGGGTTAGTCTTTGGGAAGCCCTTTCTGTTGTATCATAGAGGTGGATTCCATTTCCCACAGCCCTGAATGCGATTGGGCGATAGATGAGAAGTGACTGCGGCTCATATTCCTGAGTCCAGGGAATGGCCCGGCCCCGCTCACGCCCTCTCAGCTTGAAAACGTATGGTACCCGAGGCTAGCACAACCATCCATGTTTCTCAAAAAACGGCCCCTTGGTGTTTCAGTTTGGTTTCCGATTGAACCAATCCTCTTGGTCTCAGTTTGGTTTCCGATTGAACCCATCCAGGTGCTTGATGTTTCTTTTTGGTTTCCCTTCAAACCCTCCAGGTGTTTTAGTTTCCTTTTGGTTTCCTTTTGGTGTTTTAGTTTGGTTTCTCTTTCCACGCCGATTCGACCGGGCTCCATGTCCCTGACTCTCAGAGCTCCGGGCTCCACGGGCTCGGGCTCCGACTGCAGGCCCTTCAGCCCGGACTTCTGCTGCGCCGAGCCGCTGCCGCCCAGGCGCGAGAAGAGGGACTCCGAACCGCGGTTCCCTTCCACGCGGCTCGGGGGGGGGGGGGGGAATTGGTTTTATGGGAATAAATAGGATTGAAAAGAACATATGGGAAAGAATGTGGGAAAACATATGGTTAAAAAAAGTGGAGTCTCCAGGACCCTTAAAAGATGGCTGGTCATTACCCAAAATTAGGGGGTCATGGACTCATTTTTTAAGGGTCATGGAGACTCTAGGAACAAACATGTTTTTTTTTTTGTATGGGAAAGAGTATGGTAAAACATATGGTAGTAAAAACAACTCGGGGCCGCCGTGGGAAAAACGCCAGGCACGGCGTTCCAAATTTGCAAGAGGGCCCAACGGAGAAAAAGCAATTAACAAAAACGGGGAGAAGGTAAGGGATGCACAGCTGGTTGGCCTTTTGTTGGCCAATCCACTCCAGGCTCCTTTGTTTTAACCCCCAATTGTGGCTACTTGATTCGGCTTACATTAACTCCACGTGGCTGTGGGTTAAAACCAATGGTACCATGTTGGGGTAGGTGCACCTAGTCTATTTTATTGGGGATCGGGATGTTCGCGGGGGGTACGATTTGGGTTTTGACCCATGGCCATGTTTGCATTGGCCAGTTGCATTCAGCGCGAGCCGGCTGTTTGCCACGCCTGGCAGGCTCCCGATCCAGGTGGGCGGACTTGAAGGTGGGAGCTTCGATGGGTTATCAAAGTCAGAAATTTGGTTTGTTTCCCTTTAACCCACCACTTAGGGATGGTAAAATAAGGAGGCCAGTTGGCCAGGTGCTTGGAATCTCAAGTTGGCCTTCAGGGTTTGCCCTTCGCATTCTGCCCCATGTTCCTTGGGAGGGTGTGGCGCGTCTTCGCCGAAATCTGTGAAGCAAACATGCTTGAGTTTGGGATGTTGGACAGCGTGCGACAGCGGCCAAGAAGTAGTGAACAATTTGCTCCTGCCTCAGCAGCCCTGTTGTCCTCTTTTGTTCCGTAGGAAACGGACAACACTGTGGCGGGGTTTGCCTCTCTGCCATCCATGAAAAACATTGCATTGGTTTGGGATGTTGAAAAGCTTGCATTTGGTTGATCAAGGTCCTTTGCATAGGAGGACCATTGTGGAAAACCACTAAGCAATATGTGTGTTTTCCCTCTAAATGGGAAAAGTAAGCCATGGTCATTTGGGGGCCGTATTGATCAACCCCCATTTGTTTCTTCTGCTGCGTTTTGCCAATTCGACCAATTTCCCTGCAACCTTCAGGACAGCGAAAAGGCCAAGCTCGTTCCAGCCGCTGCCCAGGAATCGAGGCGGGGGATGGAGTTGGGGCTTTGCTGGCCCAAGCGCAAGAGCAGATACTCAGGAGTGGTTGAAACTGTGTGAGGTCAGGGACTTTTCGTGTAGCCATTCCCAACATCGATACATGTCCGAAAGCCACGAGAGTGGCAGGCATTTCAAACCACCAACGGTTTGGGTTGTGCGTTTCTTTCTTGCTTTCTGTCTTTCTTTGTTTGTTTCTGTTCGTTAGTTCTTTCTTTCTTTCTATCATTCATTCATTCATTCATTCATTCATTCATTCATTCATTCATTCACTCACTCACTCACTCATTCATTCATTCATTCTTTCTTTCTTTCTTTCTTTCTTTCTTTCTTTATTTCTTTCTTTCTTTCTTTCTTTCTTTCTTTCTTTCTTTCTTTCTTTCTTTCATTATTTCTTTCTTTGTTTTTTTTCTTTCTTTCTTAGTTTGTGTGTTTGTTTGATTGGGGTTGGGTTGGATTGGGTTGGGTTGGTTGTTTGCTTGTTTGTTGGTTTGCTTGTTTGTTTGTTGGTTGTTTGTTTGTTTGTTTGCTTGTGTGTTTGCTTGCTTGCTTGCTTGCTTGCTTGCTTGCTTGCTTGCTTGCTTGCTTGCTTGCTTGCTTGCTTGCTTGCTTGCTTCTTGCTTGCTTGCTTGCTTGCTTGCTTGCTTGCTTGCTTGCTTGCTTGCTTGCTTGCTTGCTTGCTTGCTTGCTTTTGTGTGTTGGATGTTTTTGTTGTTGTTGCTGCTGCTGCTGCTGTTGTTGTTGTTGTTGTCGTCGTCGTCGTCATCGTCGTCGTCGTCGTCGTCGTCGTTGTTGTTGTTGTTGTTGTTGTTGTTGTTGTTGTTGTTGTTGTTGTTGTTGTTCTTTTCTTTTTTGCCCGGTTTGCTTGTTTGTTTGTTGGTTTGTTTGCTTGCTTGCTTGCTTGCTTGCTTGCTTGCTCGTTTTTTGTTTGTGTGTTGGATGTTTTTTTTGATTGTGTTCTCTCTTGTTTGCCTGGTTTGCTTGTTGGTTTCTTTGTTTGTTTGTTTGTGTGTTTGTTTGTTTGTTTGTTTGTTTGTTTGTTTGTTTGTTTGTTTGTTTGTTTGATTGATTGATTGTTTGTTTGTTTGTTGTGTTTGTTGTGTTTGTTGTGTTTGTTGTGTTTGTTGTGTTTGTTGTGTTTGTTGTGTTTGTTGTGTTTGTTGTGTTTGTTGTGTTTGTTGTGTTTGTTGTGTTTGTTGTGTTTGTTGTGTTTGTTGTGTTTGTTGTGTTTGTTGTGTTTGTTGTTGTTGTGTTGTGTTTGGTTGGTTGGTTGGTTGGTTGGTTGGTTGGTTGGTTGGTTGGTTGGTTGGTTGGTTGGTTGGTTGGTTGGTTGGTTGGTTGGTTGGTTCTTGGTTGGTTGGTTGGTTGGTTGGTTGGTTGGTTGGTTGGTTGGTTGGTTGGTTGGTTGGTTGGTTGGTTGGTTGGTTGGTTGGTTGGTTTGTTGGTTTGTGGGTTTGTGGGTTTGTTGGTTTGTTGGTTGTTTGTTTGTATGGTTTTCGTCAATGCGTGGTGTTTGGATGTCCTGGTAGGTGCGTTGGTCTCCCACTGTAGCTATCGCCCAAACACGAGGGTCTCCGGAAGCATCCGCATCTTTCGTTTTGCAGGGCTGAAAGTCAGCCTCTTTAGTTGAGTAGAGCCTGGACTGGGGGGCGGCGAGTGGAATTTCAAGCAGAGCCGAACAACTTGGAATGAGGTGGGACTTGCAAGCCATATCAAGCCATCTCAGAGACCAATGTGGGCGTGCTCAAAAATCCAGACCCAGGGGTGCGCAGGTTTTAGTCTACTTTTCCGTTCAACAGGGCAACCCATTTCGGGCCCCTATTTTTGACCCATGGCCATGTGTGTGTTTTTTTTGGCGCCCCTCACCTTGGGCTGAGTGCGCGGGCGCATTCGTCAGGAGGAGCTGCTGGCTTGTGAGCTCTCCCTGGATGAGATCGGGGCCCTTTTCGAGCTTCCGTCCATTGGCAGCGGAGACAAGGTGGGGAGCGGTTAGGGAGAACGTTGACCCATCATATTGACCAGCCCCAGTTTATGGATAGGGGGGTGGGGGCCCCTCCAAGAAGCCCCAGTTTATTGATAGGGGGTTGGAGGCCCCTCCCCCGATGAATCAACTGGGGTTGATTCATATGGGGTCAACATTGGGCGACTTGTTGGGACCCGGGCTGCGTTTTCAGTGTCAGCATATTGGAATCACAGGTTTGACAATTTGACCGAAGAACTTGAAAGGACCCCGACAAATCAAGGCTTCCTTCTTCCTTTTTGTTGGTGCCCATTTTTTTCCGTGGGCGCAAGTGCAAGCCTCGTTCTGTTGGAACAACATGATGCCAATAGTACATACCCCTGGGCCGATAAATGTCATTGAATAGTTGGGGGCAATCTAAATTATAACAACCTCACACGACCTCACCCCAAATGGTGGTGGGGAATCTCCCCCCAACCACCTTATTTCAGGTTGGTGAAATATTATAATTCACCCAGATTAATGTAATTGGGGGCGGGGGTCTCCTAAATTAACTTCAATTACAATTTGGAGTTGTAATGCTTCTTTTCCTTGCAGGTTTTTGAATGCCTGGCTTTCGCCGGGAGGAAACCACAAATCCATCCCGTCCCATCCACTCTCCTCCCCCCACTCCCACCCAAGGTGAGGGGGGGATCCAACCATCCATTTTCAACGAAACTGAGCTAGAGAGGACACATTTGTGTTGGTGTCTCTCGCAGTTGTTGCTTCCATTTGCTTACTTATTTTCCCCCTGTTGGTTTTAAAGGGATCATTTTCCCAGGGGACTCACGCAAATGGAATCAAATGGCTGTGGCTCAAATACATGTACCGAAATGGCACCTTGGTAAATGGAACCAAAGACTAAAACCAAAGATTACCCCCAGCTGTTGAATTTTGAGGAACAGCTAAATGACGCGCAGTAACCTTCCAATTGCTTAAGAATATCTATTATTTTCCCCTGTTGGTTTTTAAAGGGATCATTTTCCCAGGGGACTCAAGCAAATGGAATTAGATGACGGACACCAAAACAACTCGATTGAGAGGCCAGCGGCTGGCACGACTATTTGGGGGGCTACGAGCGGCTGTTGCTGCACCTGCCGCTGTCGGCCAATGTGCTGGAGTTTGGGGCCGGCGCCTCAGCTCGTGGTGAAACTAAAGCAGAGAATGAGAGGACAACACCCGGGCAATTTACTTTGTTGCCACCAGTGAGGACTAGCTCGAGCGCGTGTGTGTGTGTGTGACGTGTGCGCGCGCAACATTTCCCAGCAGAAAGTCAAGGGGTCAGTGCAGTTTTTCCATGTCCACCTTTGCAGCTTGTGTGCCAGGTGCGGATGGGGCCGTCTTTGGCCATGTGGTCTGAGTACTTTCCCTTCGGCACTTCTGTAGGTGGGCCAAAGTTTGCAGCGCCTGTGATCCTGGAATGGGCGTGGGATGTTTCGAGGTTATCGTTTTCAGCTCACTTTAGAGGGACATTCGAAGGACAACCACAACCGGGGTCTAAAACGAAATAGGTCGCTTGAAGACGGAGGAAGACGAGGTGTCGGGCTAATCTGGAAGACTGAAATAAGTTTGACCGTGTATGGGTCATTTTTCCAGAGGGGGAAGCACTGATCAATCTCTCCTTTTGTTCGGAACATTACATGGACATCAAGTCTCTAGTTTCGCCTCCCGAAATATGTTTAGGTTCGCCCCTCGAAGCCCCGCCAGCATCCTCGTTGTGGTCATTCCACATCATAGCAAGCAGCCCAGAAAGATGGATATCTCAACCAGATCGCCCTCTGAAAGCTCGCCCTGTTTTTGGGACCCGCTTCCCGAGCATATCATTTGCATGAGGCCAAATGCAATTTCGGGAGGATCCCACCTTGCTTTACATTTTCCGGTGGCAGCAAGAATTGGACATGGATCTCTACCAGATTTGCTCTTCCGCCGGAGCTGCGCTCGTTTCCCTCCCACTTTTCCCTGCAAAATCGGCTCAACATCTATCCTCAATTCTGAAGCGCCAGATGGTTCGCTTTGTTGTAGCGGTCATCGCCTGACTGCGAATTGGGATTCGAGATGCTGCCATCTTGCTAGACGTTCAATGGGATGGCTTGATTGATTGGGTTCTGTTGCGACTTTGGATCGGATGCATTCGAAGAAGTGCTTGTTTCGCGGGTTGCATGTGTTGCATGTGCATCCTTTCTTTCCATGGCCCTCCGTTTCCCGGTGCCTGGCCATCCATCCATGGCCAGGTGTGGACAAGGACCTGGGCACCTTTCTGCAGAGGGGCCAGCCGGTCAAGGCCTCGGCATCGGGCGCGATCCAGGGATCTTCTCTTTGGAAGAGAGATGCGTGGATCTGCCTCAAGGGCCCCGAAAAAGGAAGTCAGTTTTAACTTGGTGGCCCCCAGCTATCCAGTTCCTTAGCTTTGTAGCCTTTTAGTGGGGTTTTCCATTTAACCCTCTAAAAGTTAGCCACTTTTAGCGGGGGATCTGAGGACAGCCCAGTTAAGAAAGAGGGCCTTTTTCTGATCATGAGTCTTCAGGAACAGTACTGTACTCACATTTCCTGCGTGCGCCGTGAGGTTCTGATGGCGCACGGCGCCTTCACCAGAGGCGAGCTTGGGCGTGGAAAGGGGGGTTCCCAGTGGATGAGTTGGTTGCCCGGGTTGATTCATAGGGGGTGTCCAATACGTCCACTTCCACCCCACCCCAAAAAAAAACCAAAACAGGATCGATCCGTTTGACCAACCCCTCTTGGAGAGGTCCGAAGGAGACGGCATACGCTGGACATGCCGCTTTGGTGTGAATCTGGAGTCCTGAAGTTTGGGATTCAAAGGGAATTCAAGCGTCCCTCAAATTTTCACGGCGGAACAGCGGCAACTGAAAAGATTATTTTTTGTTCCTGCCAGTATTGGCTGCGGCCCGCCCCTCCACCCATGAAGCAGCTTGCAGTTCTCATGAAAAGAAGCTGTGCGCCTACTACGTGTGCACATACATTGCACGACTACGTCGCTACCTCCCTTTGTCCGAAGGCGGGGAGGAATGCCTGGAGAGTTTTGTTGTTTTGCGTCACAAAAGCTCTGGTTGTCCGATGTTAGTGCAAGTTTGAGCTGCACCGCCTGAGCCCCTGGATGGATTTAGCTTTTCACAGGCAACGTCTACGCTGTGGAGGCTGGTCTGCGGGAGCTGTGTATTGGAGGAAATTTGTTCGGACTCTTTCAGGGCCGAAGTTTGCAGCCGGTTCTACTTGTAGTTGTAAATTGTATATATTTGGCAACTGGAAAGTTGCAAAATCCCCAAAAGGGCAATGGGGTTTCGGGGGTGACCCCTGGACGTCCATTTATGGTGTCATTTTCCCAACCATTCTTGCACGCAGTTCCATGATTCCTTGAAGCGCGGCCGACGCAATTGGATACACTTTGGTTCCCAAAGTGTGGGTTGAGTTCCCTTGAGGCCATTCGTGTCAATGCACCTTGGGGTTAATGGGACCATGTCATGAGCCATTAGGACCTTCCGGCGACCGTTCGCAATCGAACCGTGACCCACAGGAGTGTGGGCAAAGGGGCAAGCAGCGCCTCAACCCTTGTGGGTCGTGGGGGTGTTCTTGTGGCTTGTTGATTCCAAGCTGCGAAAGTCGCCCGCCGCGAAATCTGTGCCCGACCTTGCGAAAGTGATGTGCATGCCACGAACTCTGCGCATGACAGTGCGAAAGCTTAGCGCCTGCTTCTAAATCCGCATGACCGTGCGAAAGCGCTGCGCCTGTCACGAAATGTGCACTGTTGACCTTGCGAAGATGCGTCTGCCACGAAATCTGCACCCGACCTGGCAAAAGGGCTGTGCCTACCAATACTTCAGTTCACCAAAGCCAAGACAAGTTCGCAAGCGCCACAGCGAGAGCGCTTTGGCCACAGCGCCACCCGCCGCAGAGTGTGAAATTCGATCGCCCCCGTCGGGTCTACCTGCCACAGAAGCAAATATGAATTAAGACTCGAGAAGAGGAAGTTTAGAAGCAAAATAGCTTTTGCTTGTAGAAGAGTGAAGCGACGCCCGACAAGTTGTTTGCTTAGGTGCTGAGAAAAGTTCCTGGCAGTTGTTTGGCCGCGCGTGAAGGATACTGACGTTTGCTTGTGTTTTCGGATGGAGAAGTAGCACTCGAAAATTGGCAGGAGAAGTTGGCCGGTGAAGTTTGCAGCCGTGTTTTAGAAGAACCCTGCGCATGCTTCCGGGAAAATGTCAGGATGGTTTACCATTGTTTCCCTCCACAATTGGAACTGTCGTGCAAGAAATTCTCAAGGTTCCGAAAACGCCAACGACCCTAAGAAACCTCACCCAGGATCCACCTCGCTCAGGGCCAGGTTGCTTGCTGGTTCCCAGCAGAGAATCAGGGGATGACCCCGACGAACCATCCCTTGTAGTTTTCTTTGACCAACCGAGTTGCCCACTGGGTTGCCCCCTTTTTTCAACTTTCCTGGGGAAGGGTTCCCCTTTAAAGTCAACCAACCAAAAAACGGATGCATCCCTTTTCTTTTCCCATGGAAATCCAATGGGCATTTGAGCCAAAGATACCCCAAACGTTTCATGCGCGTGGCCCCTCAAACTTCCCTGCCGAGGGTCTGCAAGCTTAGGTTAAGCAAGGTGGTTCCACTTGCTGCTTGCACTGGGAGAGGCAAGTGCTATATCAACTTTCATAAGCCCATAGTAAGAATCACCAGTCAGCTCAAAGTTTGCAGGCGCTTCTGTAGCAAGGTCTTTAGATCAATTGCTTAAAGGGGCATTGTAGTTAGTAAGCGACCACTTAGAAAACTAGCATGGCAATTCCTGGTTTACCTGGTGGTTTTCTCATCTAGCAGGGAAAACCATCTATTTCCTCTAAAAGGACGCCTATGCTAATACAGGGCTCCTTAAAAGATACATTTTGCCCATTTGAAACATGGCGTTTTTTTTAAACCAAAATAAGGGGAAACCACCATGGACCAGGCAATGTTGAGGCGTACAATGTAAGGATCCCTGGCTAAGTCCAATGCCCCCTTTACGTGGGTGTCGAGGCCAACGCCTCAGACGTCTCGGGCCGGGAGAAGTTGCAGCGCCTCGGCTTCGGAGCCAACTTTGCGGACGTGGTGGTGGATGACGCCAACCACTGGTTCAAGGACCGGGCAAAACGGGCCAAACGGGATGTTGTTTTTTGTTTTTTACAAAAGGCTTTGTGTCAAAAATCTGGGCGGACCCATCAATCAACACGGGGTGGTTTCCTTGTTGGGAAACCAGAGGAAATGGGATGTGGGTCTTTACCAACAAACTCTGTCTCAAAAATCTGGGCGGTTTCCTTGTGGTTTGCCTGGAACGTGATGTGGGGCTTTACCCAAAGGGGTCTGTGTCAAAAATCTGGGCGGAAACCTGAACATGGTGGTTTCCTTGTGGTTGGGAAACCACAACAGCTCCTCAAAAAGGGCCACGCCAAGGTGGGGAATTTCGTGGTGTGTCACATCAAGTTTGACCCAAGGTGCCCCTGATTTGCTCCGCTCTGGTCTCCTCTGGTGCGCTACCCTTCGAAAAGCAAAAGGATACTGCATATTGTCTTGGATTCGTTTGCGGGTTTCCCTGCGCTTGTGTTATTCCAGTTATTCCTGCGCTTGAGTTATTCCTGCGCTTGAGTTATGCCTATGCTTGAGTTATTCCTGTGCTTGTGTCGTTCTTGTGCTTGTGTTATCACCTAGATGCCACATCCCAGTGAGGGAGTGCCACTTTTGGGCACCCGAGCTCAAGCCCCTTGGTTCGGGGAAGTCGGAAGGCGGTGAACAAGTCGCTTAAGATGGACTCCTAGTTTGGTGAGCTTCCATTTGAGCCACGTCCTCAAAACCGATTCGGGTAGATGAGAAACGCCTTTGCCTGGAGGCCCACCCAACTTTAGAAACCAACCAAACGCACCTGAGCCACATTCAAAAGCCAGGTGGATGAAGGTTAGCAATCAAAAACCGGGTAGATGAAGGTTTAGGGGCAGTCCCAGCCAGAAATAGTTGCGGATATCCGCCTTCTTAATTCTTTACATGGTTCTGGGTAGACCATTTTAGTACCGGGTTTTGATTGTGACTCATTTGCTGAAACGTTGTTTTTGTCCCTTGTTGGCTTTAAAGGGAATCGATATCATTACCGGAAATATGTTCTCATCTTTTCCAGGCGACTTAAGCAAATGGAGGTTAATCCCCAATAGTACCGTGTAAATGTTGACCCCATATGAGTTAACCAACCAGTTTATTTATAGGGGGTGTCCTTGGGTTTACCGACATTTGGTTGCCGCTGGAGTGAGAGCGTCCAGGGAGAGATCGTTGATAAGTGGGGGATCATCACTTTCAGAGAGGAACACCCCCGTCAACATTAAACGTGTTTTCTTTTTAGCCCAGACTTCCATTTGCTTAAGACGATTTTCCCCTTGTTGGTTTTAAAAGGAATGTATCACTACTGGACTTTTGTTTTCCAGGGGTCTTATCCAAATGGAAGTAGATGTTGGTTTGATCGCCTGTCATCTTGGCACTGATCCCGACGGCCCTGCCTAACTCATGGCTCTTCAAACACTGGAGTTCGGCTCATTTCTCTCGAAGTTTTTTTTCAGCAAGCGGGATACTTCCATTTGGTTAAGAATATTTGTTATTTTCTGTGTTGGTTTTAACGGGCATCCATCACTACTGGAAATATGTTATTTTTCCTCAGGAGACTTGAGCAAATGGAGGGATACTGCAAAGTTCAAAATAGGCGCTCAAAACAAGCCCATAGCGACAAGAGAGTCTCAGGACAGGAACTGAATTCATGGATCGTGTCGCGTACTTGCCATTTGTTTCCCTTTGGTGCATGCGTTGTACGTTGAGGCACTTTGCCCTTTTTTGCGCTTTTGGTGCTTTGGAACCCTTGGAAGGTGTTGCTCCTGTCCAACCCATAGCTGGACATGTTCTTGAAAACGAAGATTTCGTTCGCAACTGCCGCCACCTTGCACGTGCCACCTTTGGGCTCAATGCCTGCGGCACCAGGACCAAATCGCCCGCTTTGAGCTCTATTTCCCGGATGTTCTTCGACCAGGACGGATAGATACAGACTCTTGTTTTCTGCCAGCGTGGAATCTGCTGGCGAAAAACAGGCAAACAATTGCCGCTTGGCCAGTGGTGTGATTTCAGATCGATGAGTAGTGCACTGGAATGTCGTTGATCGATCCTATCGATCCCTCCTTGAGCTCGCAGGAGGTGTGTACATCATTGAGGATGTGCACATGCAGGACACTTTCTCTTCGCATGTGAGCATGGGATGAATTGAACGATGCGAATGAAGCTAGCGCGGCGAATCAGGAGCGCTGGCTGTAATTGTCATGGGTTGCAACCACAAGGATAGTACTTTGAAACCAATGGAATCACTTCAACTGGTATGGCATGCGTTCGCCCAGCTGCTGCGTTTTTGTTTTCTTCTTCTGAGCCTGGCTAGCTTTGAGATCCGGTCCAGCAAGGCTCAGCTCGAGAGGCCTCTCTCGCAGCTTGTCGGTCAAATAGTTTTCTCTAAGTTCGATGATGTCCGCAGGAGTCAACGTTCCTTGGTCAGATTCAGCAGGTAACCCCACGTCAGCTTCCTGATCTAGAGTCCGCTCAAGGCGCCATGGCTGTGCTTTCAGTTTTTTCAGGAGCCCTTCGACCACGATGGCCGGAGGGTTCGGGCCTACTTTGCCAATCTCACAGCAAGGACCTCAGCTTCTCGTTTCTGCGAGGGCATGTGTCATGGTTGATTGTCAAACCAGTCGCCGAAGATGAAAAGGAACAGGCGGCCCTTGATGTTGGTTCGCCGGAAAATAGTGTGTCCGGTGAAAAACTCGGAGGCCTGCATTTTCAGGCGCCATGCTGATTCGGACTTTGCATTGTTTTGACCTTTGAGGCGAGTGTCTATGTCACGCCTGAGATCCTCTTAGGCGGGGTCCGTCCACTTTTGTTTACGAGCCTAAGGGGTCATTAACCAACGCTGCAACCTGATGTTAGGCATCCTAATCAGTGACCATACAAGACACACAAGGTTAGCAGATTTGGCTGCGCACGCAGGGATTGAAGCAAGCAACACTGGCTCGATGCTTCCCGACTCCTTGCTGCTGTCCCATTTTGTTCGACTAGGTCCCCCAGTAGTGCTCTTTTACCAATTCCTTTTTGGTTGGGAGGGTTCCCCTACTAAAATAGGCTACAGAAAAAGGGTACCCTTATTCTAGTCGCTCTACTGGAGGACCTAGAGTCTCTTTCTTTGTAGTGCCGCAAAATCATGAATGTACATGGTGCCCCATTGATTCCGAGCAGCCAGCGCTACGTTCACAGGAGTGTGCACATAGTAAGCAGTGTGGCGGCAAGTTATCCCCGATCTCCTATTTGCAAGCGAGCCGGCCCTGCTTGCCTCTGAAGCAACCCACCTGGGTCCCAAGTAAAAAACATCCAGGGACGTTCTTAGACTTGCTGGGGGTTTGTATTTGAATCGCACCATTTGGAGATAGGGTTGATTCCTTTTCCATTCTTTTCAGCCATCCTTCTTTCAGAAACCGGATCTGTTTCCCCTTGGATTCTGCTGGTCTGAAAAGATTCGAATCCCTGGGTTCAGAATTGGAAGTGTCCCCTAGAATCTCCAAATGGTGAGATTCAAATACAAACCCCCAGCAAGTTGAAGAACTCCCTCGATTTGAAAAGAATGGGATTGGAAGTGTCCCCTAGAGAGATTCATTTCGATCCAAATGGACCCGTTGAGCCGTCGCCTCCCAACTGCCGCTTTGAGTGAGGCTCGCATCAGATCCGCACCAAGCGGCACGCCTCCCAGGACCGAACGAGCCACGGGAATCCGCAGCTGGCTGTGGCTCCAAAAACGGAATCCCCCGAAAAAGAAGCCCCTTGGTACATAGGTGTGGCTCAAAATGTAAGAGCTCGGGCCAACCGCCGCTTTTAGTCTTTGGTTCCATTTTCCAAGATGTCATTTCGGGTGCCACTTTTTGAGCCACGGCAAATTGGAGACCAAGACCACAACCTGCGGTTGGCCCTGGCTCTTCTTTTTTTTTGGAGCCACAAGGGATAGTCCCAGCGCCGGAAAGAGCTGCGGATCTGCTTTTGTATTTCCTGAAGTTAAGTTTTTTTTGGGGCGGAGATCCATAGACCATTTGAAGACCGGGCTCTTGATTGTGACTCACCTTAGCTGCGATCTCGGGTTGGAGAGAGAATCTGGGCGGCGGTTGGTCCTCTCATTTGGTCAGTGGCAATGCAACAGGAAACCGGGCCCCCCTTTTTAGCCCATTTCTTCGACCTTGGCTCCCTGCAGCGGTATGGATGGTGAAGGGGTGTGACATTTGGTCTCTGTGCAGTACTTGTGAGAACAGGAAACAGCCGCAGTAACGGTACTTATTGGGAGAACATGAAAAAGTTGGATCATGGTATATATATACGTATATATATATATACACAATAATATATATATATATTTTAAAGGCAAGCATGAGCAGCCATGGCAAGTCTCGGACTAGACTTCAGCTTGAATCGACGGAAGTAGTTGTTTGATGCTCCGTCCTTGTGCTCAAGCGTGTTTTGGGCTGGCTCAGGATTCAACAGCCATCAGACAAACCACCTGGCATCCACTCACCGACTGAGCCATCGCAGCGCAGGGGATCTTCCACACATTTTCCTGGGTGAATCATAACGACTTCACACGACATCACCCGAAATGGTGGTCTATGCGGGGGAATAGCCCCCCAACCACCTTATTTCAGGTTGGTGACATATTATAGTTCACCCAGATTTTCAGGGAGCCCTATTCTAAGATTCTAAACCACACCCGATCTAGCACGGGGGTGGGGGTTCATTGCAGGTGTTTTCTCCCTGGTGCAAGTGCAGGCTGTCCTTACAGGACTGTGCTCAGAGATGCGCAACCCTATGGTGTCCTGTTCTGGCCAGATTCAGCTGAAGCATATGTCGGGTTTCCCATTACGAGCCCAAAGAAGTGATTGGAAGGCATGAATTCGCAGTCGTGGTGCATGTTGAGTAGCAAAGACCATGCTACTTGATGCAGACTCTTTCACAACATTTTATGTCGACTTGGCCTTCACGCAACCTTGGGAGGGTCAAGCACACCCGAGACTTTCCAGTTCCATTCTTTCCAGGGATCCTTCTTTTCAGGAAACCATCAAACACCCAGAAAAAAAAAGATCTGGTTTTTGAAAAGAACGATGGTTGAAAAGAATGGAAAAGGAATCAACCCCTAGAAAAGCACCATATGTTCATGGGGGGGACGGGTCGATTTGCTCTGGCTGAGCCAGGACTGGCGGCACAAGGCAGCCCAAAAAAACCGTGCGGTGTCGGCGATGTGCTCAAAAAATGACGGAACTCCAAGACATGTCTCCAAATGAAGCTCCTGTTGGGGGGACCGACCACTTTTTTGGCTTCCAGTTGGTTGTGATCATCTTTGGTTCCCTGTCAGTCAGCACTTTGAATCTTAAGATGCGGGGCCCCTTCAGATTTTGAGCCAGCCCATCTGTTCAATCCCCTGACCCCGGGGCATGGGTGACTCTGGCGCCAGATCCCCGGAGAATGGTCGTCAGCCAGTGGTGTTCGGGGATACGAATCGACTTGACCCAGGCACCGCGCACCTCGTAGGCGGGTAAAAGAGCCTTTGAAAGCCAACGGAGGCTTTCCAGGGCCCAGGCTGGAGGGCAACTGGCCACTTGTCTTGCTTTGAAAGGGTGATTCCTTTTGGCTACCCTACTGTGGATGGTTGCGAAATCCATTTCGCACCACCTGATAAATCCTCGAATGATGATTGGCCTGTGAATACCAACAAACCATGGTTTCAACCTTGGTTTCTTAGGTGGTGCGAACGAATTTCTTTTCCATCCACAGTATGGACACAGGTACCGTACCCGCCAAGCTGTGTTTGACTTGGGCTTCATAGGTCTGTCCGATCAACTGACGACTGCTCCTGGAATCTTTCGTGGGAGCAGATACATAGCAATGTTTGATGGGTCCAGCTGAATGTCAGGAATCATACCTAACACTCTTCAAAACGGGGTTCCGTGTGCATCTGGCAAAATGCAAACACAAGTTGAATGAGACACTGCCATATGACCCTGCCGTGCGTCCTTCCGCCGTCAGCCCGGAGAATATCGGTCACATTGGGCAACTACGTCAATCTCAAAATGTGTGTGTATGTGTGTCTTTTTAGGGGACCCCCCCCACCAAAAACAAATAGCGTGGTGGTGGTTGTGTTCGTTTCCCTTTAAAACTAGACACACCCAAATCACCCATAAGCATGCTTGATCAACATCTCGGCAAGAACTCTGTGAGTGCCGACAAGATGCTACCCCATGATGAAACTGCTAGCCAGCACATAACATCCACCTAGGCCTGAAAGGGATGTTTGATTTTGGCAAGCCATTGTGAACATCTGGTTGTGAAGAGCCTTGAAGTGAACATCACAATCCCCACTAAAATAGACTAAAATGGGTGGTGCACCTACCCCCCAAATGGTGCCATTGGTGTTGACCCACGCCCACGGCCAAATGACGTCGCTGGCTTTATGACGCCGGTCAGGTGGAGTCGGTGACCTTCCTGCGGGACGTGGTTGCCATCGTCAAGGCTGCGGATGCGTGAGGCTGCTTCGACTGCGCGAAAGCTAAGCGGCACCGAAGAAAAGGGCCTGAAACGCAAGGCCTTTCTGCCGGCTTAGCCTGGACATGTCATGGTTTCAAAAAAGACTTTGGCGATTTGGTTGGGTCTTTGGACGTTCACTTTTTGGGGCATGGTGGATTTTCAATTGGACCCACAAGAAGCTAAGCACATTCTTGCAGTGACGGGTCTCGCCAGCAAGCGAAGGGCGCCACCGGAGGGATGCCTGCAGCCACAGAGATGCGTCTTTTCTTTGGAGCATTTTGCTTGGATGTTGGGACTTTAAGTTTTTGCCAACTAATGGGTTTCCATTAAACCGCTAAAAGTTATAACCTTTTAGCAGCTGAGCAGATTTCGCAATCGAGTTTTGCTCGTGTCAGTTGGTTCAGCGGGGAGTGGTCAGTTCGGTCACCAAGCGCATGAGGTTTCCCCAATCTTTCGGCAGGCCGAGCTGGTAGCTCCGAACATCCCCAAACTCCGGGCGTGGAGTGTACATATGGATCAGACCAACTTATGTCCGGAAAATGCGGGCGCGCGCGCCAAGCCCCTCACGGAGTGCGCGGGAGGTGAATCTTAAACTCAAGCATGTCTTGGACCAATGAGCCACAGTTGAGAGCATGCGGCGTATTTGGTGTAATCCAACCCTTGAGGGATGGTTAAGTTGCCAGCCTCTTACCGAGCTGACGACCGCAGCGTCTTGGCCAAAGCGCGTTTCGCTCGCGGCTGACGGGTTCCCACTTGGTTCCTTGCCCGCGTTGGCTGGTGCTGGGGCCAGAGGTTTTCACATGGATTAAAATGGAATCCAAAGCTGGATCACCTAGGGGACGAGGTATCAAGGGCAGTAAGGGAACCTGCAGTGCTATGACGCTGGCATGGCATGGTGCGCAGCCCTGGAGTATCAAGTTGAGGCCGGGCTTGTTTTGCTTTACCAAGCACCCGGATGCGTGCTCGAGCACCGGCATCCTTTGAGAAACGGCTGGGATTTGGTGGGTGTAACCCGCTTTGGCACTTTGGGCCGGATTCCACGGGCAACTTGAGTCGATATGAATCTACTCCCAGAAGCAAAGAAAGACTTTGCGCAAGAGTCCCTGTAAAAGGAACACGTGCTTCCAGTAAATTGTGTGCAGGTTCTATGATGTTTGTTGGTGAGAGGGGGGCTAGTGTGAGAAGTCATGTCATATTCTTTGCGCGGCGCCGGGTTTTGACACATATGTTGACAGAAAAAAACACCAATTGACTCGCAATGGATCAGACCACTGGAGTTTGTGCCAAGCTGCCAAACTCTTTGGGTGTATAGTCTGGTGGATTCCCTGCTGATGCCATTGGTGCACCCCAGCCACGTCTCTCGCAGGAAAGGCTCTGACAGCCTCGCTCCGAAAGGCGCCGACCAAACTGGGCCGGGTTCAGCGAGGGGTTTCTTTGCACCAGCCCTGAAAAGGGTAGACTCGGGTACACCTTAAACAATTGACTGGCCGTGTCTTGAAATGAGGGACCCTGGAGGGACGCTTAGAGGCCTGTTTTGGCAAGCATCTCCTTCGGAAAATTGTTGGGAGCTGGCTTTGATGTCAAAGGCGGATTACCTCCCTTTTTGAGGGCAACTTCTGCCAAAGGTCTCGAACGGTAAAAGTGACTCCGGCGTAGAAATTGTTACTCCAAGCCAAAAAAGTAGCTTTTTTGCTGCGGAGTAAGAATTTCTACTCCAGAAGGGTAGCCGGCACCCTCAAAAGAAACGGGACCCAGCGTGGAGGCCCAGTCGATGCCGAACACCGTGCTCGATTGCATTTTCGGCACTCGAGCTCTTTTGTTTGCCCAATTCTCAAAACAAACAGCTTTTAGGACGGCTGTGCCGTGCATTTTTGCCCTGCAACTTCGAGCGCAAGTTCGGGCGCCCATCCGCGCAACTGTAGCGAGCTTGTTCCACTGATATATTAGTTTATGTCCTTTTACTGCATGGCAAATCTTTGAAAAAATATATCAAAAAAAAAAGGATTTGCATTTTTTCAATTTGTGTGGATAGTAATCATTCTCATTTTTGTGATTGTCTTATAACCAAAAATTATCCAAAAATTATGTGTGAGCGCGAGTTTAGTCGCTGCTCCGCACTGGCGCCAAGGCGCCCCCATTTCCCCTTCCCCGACCAGGAACGAACAATTCAGAGCTGAGCTTTCCTTCGTCTTCAGCCTGATGTCCCTTTCGGGGGACCTTTGGGCTTTTCCAGGAGACAGAAACGGGGCTGAACAATTGCTCAGAAGTTCCTATAACAGGGTTCGGAGCCATTTCTCTTTTTGGAACCTCCAACAGCGGCAGTTTCACGGGAAACCGCCGGTAAAAATTACAACTTTTGAAGGGGAAGTCCAGTGACTCCTGTAGAATTGTGACCCTCAGAGGTGGCGGTTTTTCGTATCCCACGTTCCAAGCGGTGCCCGCCCTTCAGGCCGGTCACTTCCCACTCCGGCGAGATGGATGCCGGAGGCGGCCAAGAGCCTAGAGCCGGGACCGGGGGAGAGCTGAGCCATCGCCAGGAGGATGTTTTTAACCCCCGCCCCCCCCCCCCCAAGAAAAAAATCTTCTCAGGACCCCTCAGCGGCTCTACTGCTATTGGGTTGGATCTTTAGACTTTAATTTCCCTCATATTTCCTTGTAACCAGCAAAAAGTTCGTCACTTTGTGCTGGATCTACAGCACCCCTCAGAAGCACCTTTGCTCAGCTTCTCGAGCCTCCTTGGTATTTTTGCTTGCCGGTGATTGATGGGTGCTGGGCGGTTTTTCGCAGTTCTCCCTGGCAGAAAGATTGTTCGGCAGCCAGATGAGCAGATTAAAGTGAGAGGGTCAAATGAAGCAAAGAACGCGGTGGGCTTCTAGGCAGCTCAAGGTTGGCGGAACCCTTCCAGAATCCCTTGTTGGTGGATGATAAAAAGCGCTTGTATGTTGTGGAGTTATACAACTAGTTTGTGCAGGGACCACTGATACCACCTGTGGCACCCATTGGAGTCCGCCATGTCATGTCCGCCACGAAAGCTCATCTGTGATCCGGGCTGAATTCCCCCCAGGTTCCGGAAAAGGCTGGGTTGCATACAACTCAAGTCTCGATAGGCGGCGCACCTCAATTGATTGCCAGACTTAGCTCCCCGTTTTGCCCTTTGGCCTCTTTGCGTTGCGCCACCTTCCCGTTTATTCCAAAAAACAAGTTGACTTCATTGCAGGTCCAAGTCGGGGCAGGAACCATTCCCATGGGAATTCAGAACGATCGGAAGGCCTGTCAGGAGCCCCACGCTCCTGATTTGTTTGGAGGTGGAGTTTTCCCCCTCTTCCAAGCTGAAAAAGCACACCCTGTTTCCATCAACTGATGATCAAGGTTCCAGCATCTTCCAAATTCCGAAAATGACCAGGAACGTTTCCCATTTGGTGGTGAATGGGCATCTTTTGTGGTGGCTTCCCGAATGGGCACCCCATGCAAAGGACCTTCTGATCAACCCTCGAATGTCGAATGTTACCTCAACCCCCCCCCCCCCCCCAAACCGCATTTGGGGTACCATTTGACCGCCAGAATGACCGCCAACAGATATTGGACAAAAATCTGACATACTCCTCCGAGCTCATTCCTTCCGTTTGCTTAAGAGTATCGTTTTGTTGTTTTTTCCCTAGCTGTTGGTTTGTCAGGGAAGGTATCACTACGCAGACCTTGCTGGAGCTCAGCAGGTTCCGTTCTGAACGGAACCACCAGTTGGGTTCAAATCGGGGATCCAATTCTCATTCCCTGCATCTCTCGCATCAGATGCAAATGGAAGATTCTGAAGAATACCATCCAAACCCATTCTGAAACTTGGTGGCTCACAGGCATCCCCTCTGCTTTTTAGCTTTTTGGCCTGGAGTGGCGATTTCCGGAGCTGACCCACTAAAACTTTGGTGCATTTTGCTTGGATGTCAGGACTTTGACTTTTAACCCAACTCATGGCTTTTCCGTATTAAACCACTAAACGTTCGTCACTTTTAGCAGGGCAGAAAGCGACCGAGTTTTGACAGGACAAGACACAGAAGCCCAATTCGGTGCTTGAGGCCTGGATCCAACTAGGGCTCCTTTTTAGGATTTCCAGCTCAGTAGCGGGTAGACGAAGGTTAGCAAGGGGCAGTCCCAGCCGGAAATAGTTGCGGATCTCCGCCTTTCTTATTCTTTACATGGTTCTGGGTTCACCATTTTTGTACCAGGTTTTGATTGTGACTCACTTGACCCACTAAAAGTTAAACTTTTCGCAGGGATCTGAGGGATCGAATCCGCGCGCGGCCTCCGCGCTCGATCCGCTGAGCCTTACGCCCTGGGCGTCGTGACGGCCCTCTCCGCGCGCTTCGGCGCGCGGCGGCTCCGGCCCGCCGGGGGCTCAGTGGGTTGCTCCTTCTTCATGGTTGTTGTTCGGACACATTTTACATTTTTGCTTATTGTGGTTTAGTGGGAAATCCCCACTGAACTGCCAAAATATGTTTTTTTGCTCCCCTTCCAACGTCATCCAACTCCAGAGTCCAAACCCAGTGGACTTTTTGGTGGTTAAGGAAAAAATAAAATTGTTGAAACCCAGCTTCTTGGGCCCAAAAGACACACCATGAGCAAGCGAAACTTGGATGAAGGTTGCTTGCAGTTGCCAGGTTGTGATCATGGTTCGATGGGCTGCTTTTTACGGCCCTTTTTCGGGTGATTGTCCAACCCGACCCAAAAATCAAAGGGCGCGATTGAAATCCCTTTTCAGGTCCCTTTTAGAGTGGCGTTGGATTTGTTCGGGCTTCAACAAGTCCCTTGCCTTTGATGGATTTGTAAGAACAAGTGCTCGAATGTCACCAGCCCAAACAATGCATGGGGGCTCGCCATTCGACGGCTTGCAGCGAAGGCCACAACTATGGCCACCACCAGCACAAAGCGACAAAGTACGCACAGGGTTCGCACAAGTTCTGAGGTGAGCACAACATCTGTCTTGCCGTGAGGGGAAGGTCGAAGCGTGATTCTGCAGCCGCAGCAAGGGCTTCAAGACATCAGCTTTCCCCAGGAACGCGCGTCTCTCAGGTCTGCACGCTCGCCGCTGTAGCTTTTCC